GTTACATAAAAAATCTAATCGGGCCCCAAAATTCAATTGTCTCAAAATCAGATCCCTAATCTCTCTATCGACGCAGAATCCCTAATCTCTCTATCGATTCATGCTGCAAATCCCCTAATCTCTCACATCTGTCAAAATCTGGTAATCGGATAGTGGTCTCTGAAGACTTCATGCTGTGAAAATGGCGAGCAGGTATGCTTTAGGGTTTTTTTATTTCTTGTTAGCTCGATTGTTTTTGCAGTGAAATAGGGTTCTTGGTTCTTTCAGGGTTGGTGATAATGATGGATTTTCTGTAGAAGAAATAGAACACCTTATAGATACTTATCATGAGGAAACCAGCACTGATGATGATTATGTTCCTGAAGATAGTAGTTCTGAGTCAGATGGGCTGAGTGCAGATGAATTAGGAACAGATGATGAAGAATACTTTGAAGCAAGGAGAAAAAAAGCAGAATCCAAAAATATTCCAGATGAAGAGGGTGTTGATTTTCATGAACTGAGGGATGATCAATCTGATTATGCAGACTCCGGAGAAGAGGTTAACTCTGATTCTTCAAGTTCTGGGGGGTTTAGTGGGGATGATGGTGGAAGCTGTAGGAAGAAAAGAAAAAAAATGATAATCTATGATACCAATGTTGACCACAAGCAATTCAAATTTGAACTTGGTATGAGGTTTGAGTCTGTCAAACAAATTAGAAATGCTATTCAACAGTATTCTATATATAATGGTCACAATATTCAGATATGGAGACAAACACAAAATCAGATTGAGGCAAAGTGTGTAGAAGCATGTCCCTGGAAGTTGTATGCTAGCAATATTAAGGCAGAAGGGAGAATTGCCATTAAAACTTTGGTTTCAGATCACAACTGTTCTAGGGACATGAGAACCAAACAAGCAACTTCAGACTGGATTGCTAAGGAGTACCTTCAGAAAATCAGGAGAAAACCCAAGCTCAAGATTACAGACCTTGAAGAGATGATACTTGACAAGTATGCTGTGCAACCATCCAAATGGAAGCTGTACAGAGGCAAGTGGAAGGCACTACAAATGTTGAGGGGCACTGAAGAAGAACATTACTCATGTCTTAGGAGTTACCTTGCTGAGCTATTGAGAGTTGACAGAGAGGGGAGGTTTGAATTTTTACTAGATGAAGGGACTGTTTTCAAGGGATTTTATGTGGGATTTAGTGCATTAAGGAAGGGTTTTTTAAGTGGGTGCAGACCAATAGTGGGTTTAGATGGAGCTTTCTTGAAGACAGTGATTGGAGGTTGTTTGTTGACTGCAGTTGGTAAGGATGCAAACAACCAAATTTATCCCATTGCATGGGCAGTGGTGGATTCTGAAAATGAAGCCAACTGGAAGTGGTTCTTGTCAATTTTGTTTAAAGAGTTTGGCATAGTAGATGGATTGGGCTGGACATTTATCAGTGACCAACAAAAGGTAATACTACATATCATATTACATTTATTATGTGTTCTTCAATTCAGATTATTTGTTCCTAATTTTATATAACTTTTACCTTGTTAAAATGAATTGTAGGGATTGTTGAATGCAGTAAAAGACCTGGTACCATTGGCAGAGCATAGAAATTGTGCTAGACACATATATATGAACTGGAAGAAAACACACAAGGGTCAAACACTGAAAAATATGTTTTGGAGGACTGTCCATTGCACATTTCTTGCTGCATATAAAGAATCATTGGAAGAGATGAAGTCAGAGTGTCCAGAAGCACACAACAAGTTCATTGAGCAAGAAAATTTCAGGTTCTGTAAGGCTTTAATATCTGCACATCCAAAATGTGACATGGTGCTAAATAATGTGTGTGAAACCTTCAATAGCACCGTTGTTAGGGCTAGGAAAAAGCCTATTGTTGATATGCTTGAAATGATAAGAACCTATGTGATGGAAAGACAAGTTGACAAACTGAACATGGGTAGTGGTCTCACTGATATCATTTGTCCTAGGATTAGGAAAAAACTTGAGGAAACTAAGTTCAAAAGTAGGTTGTGTGTCACCAAGCCTGCTTTAGGAAACAAATACCAGGTTAGTTGTATTGAGGACCAATTTGTTGTTGACTTGGGAGAAAGGAGTTGTTCATGTAGGCAATGGGACATAAGTGGTATACCTTGTGTCCATGCATGCTCAGCTATTCATTGGCTGAAGGAAGATGCCACAGATTATGTAGCCTCAGTATATAGTTGTCAAAGGCTGATTGCTGCTTATTCTTTCCCAATGGAGCCCCTTAATGGGAAGAGAATGTGGCCAGAGACTTCAGGGTATCCTATCAAGCCTCCACCATTCAAGAGAATGCCAGGTAGACCCAAGATCAATAGGAAGAAAGCACCTGAAGAAGAGTCTAAGACAACCACAAGGCTCAAGAGATTTG